AGGGAAAATTTTAAAAGACATTACACTGCATGTATATTTGCTTTATGTGATCTACATGAAATTCATGGAACTTAATATGTATTTATTAAGTGTTCAGAAGTGGGAAAATATAGTTTATGAAAAACCTGACTGGCATGTGCCTCATTGGAAGTTCAGGTTAGATGACAATTCCATTAGCTGTAACAAATTAAAGGAAGATACATCATTCTACCACAGGTGAAAATGCTTATTAGGTGAGAATGCTGGAATAAGCCATCTTCTACTGAAAAGCACCAAACAATTGCCACGTCTGTCTCAAGCTTGAAAATGCTTTGTCAGTTCTCTGGGGCCATACAGCTGTTGATATCTTTCCAAGCACAGTGAATTATCTAGTGGTGGGAAGGGTAGGGGGAAAAGAGGCTACTTCTGTCATTAAACCAAGAAGTTATCTGTCACTGAAAAGTGTAGTGAACCCCTGAGTTAAAACTCTAAGCAGCAACAGGAGCCTAAAGGCCCTAATTTTGTTTTATTTCTTCTCATGAGAAGAAAAGCTTGAAGGACAGAAGGAATAGGATGAAAACAATAACCCTAGTCAACTTTGAAGTTTAAGGTATTGTTTATTTAGGTCTAAAATAAACCTTCAAAGTTGTGGTAGATCCATCCACCTCACTACAAATAACTCAATTTCATTTCTTTTTATGGCTGAGTAATATTCCATTGTATATATGTGCCACATCTTCTTTATCCATTCATCTGTCGATGGACACTTAGGTTGCTTCCATGTCCTGGCTATTATGTATAGAGCTGCAATGAACATTGTGGTACATGACTCTTTTTGAAATATGGTCTTTCTTATACAGAATGAAGTCAGTCAGAAAAAGAAAAAACAAATACCATATGCTAACACATATAAATGGAATCTAAAAAAAAAAAAAAAAAGGTTCTGAAGAACCTCGGCCAGGACAGGAATAAAGACGCAGACATAGAGAATGGACTTGAGGACACAGGGAGGGGGAAGGGTAAGCCGGGACAAAGTGAGAGAGTGGCATGGACATATATACACTACCAAATGTAAAACTGATAGCTAGTGGGAAGCAGCCACATAGCACAGGGAGATCAGCTCAGTGCTTTGTGACCACCTAGAGGGGTGGTATAGGGAGGGTGGGAGGGAGACGCAAGAGGGAGGAGATATGGGGATATATATATATATATATGTATGGCTGATTCACTTTGTTATAAAACAGAAACTAACACACCATTGTAGAGCAATTATACTCCAATAAGGATGTTAAAAAAAAATGTTGTGGTAGAAAACACACAATGGGTTTTGCTACAATATCTACTTGATGTCATTTCACTAAATGTTTAAAAGTTCACTCTATTTAAAGCCATTTTAATATATGAGGTTTCTTCTGAAAATATTTCAAGTTTTCCAAACATATTAAAGAGATGTTTACCTCTCTCCCAAGATAACTTCATGCAGTTAGGCATTAAAAAACATTATATATGACATTATATTATAAACACTAACACATACAAAGACATACCTAAGGAGTGAACGTTGATACTGGCTTTTCATTTTCTACAAAATAATTTTCTTTGAAGAACTTATATCTTTGAGAAAGTTAAAAGCTTGAATGTATATAGGGCTAAAGCGGTAACAGAAATATGTAAGTTGGAGTAAGAATGCTGCCAGGCAAAACTATGGAAAATGTACAATCTGTTGTCATCTTAGGAGTGCACATTCACTTAGAAGCATTAAAAAAATAAAAAAGAAAGAAAACACCATGACACATCTGATTCTTCTTGCTTTGATCAGCATTTTATAACTTCTGATTTAGAAAGTCTTGTTAGGTCTCATTTACTACCTCAACTGCCATTCTTACACAAAAGCCAGAGAAAGTTCTGACTGTAGAAGATAAAAAAATCAATAGAAAAATACCTTAATTTTATATATAAAAAAGTAGAAGGAAAAGAATAATTTGATAGCACAACTAGAATAATTCATGCTCTGTTGGCATTTTTATATCTACAAATATGATTTTTTTGTAAATATGATTAATTAAAAGCACATATGAATTAAATCACTACCACACGTCTGTAGAAATGCTTCACTTTTTGTATTTGCTAGTTTTGTTTGGTTTTATTTTTCACTGATGGTTAACAGACTGTGTGCTTTTCATTTCATTTTCTCAAAATATATATCTCAATGATTTTTCTTTACTATATTTTTTTCCCTCCTGACCATACTATTTTGACCCAGCAAAGAAGAAAGAAGTACAAATTTCTGAATGTTTTTCATACACAAAAATGGCAACTTCATAGAATTCAAAATGCTTTCAGGTATCAGCTTTCATTTGTTAAGCCAAACCGTAAGTTTATTCTAGCCATGAGCTGGAAAGGTCCTCAGAGCCTTTTTTATAACCAAAGCTTCAGAGTTCCTGCTACTTGCCCAAGAACATGCAGTGTTTAGAAGATGAATCCTAGGTCTCCTCTCTCAGTTCAGTGCTGTATCTGCAAATCTGTGGCTTTTCCACTTTTTCAAATGCATCTGCCATAAGAAATGTGTTTTCTATTGTGACCCAGTGCGCTCTTTGTACTTATAACAGCAACAAAGGTTTCATGAGGTATTACTATCCTTCTAACGTGTAATATGTAACACTCTGATATTTTCAGTGCCTACATATAATATAATAGAATTAAAACAATTAATAATTCCCCTTTCTGAAATCCACAAAGAAGAGAAAGTCCCTTAAGAATACTTAAAATGCAGCTTTCCCAATTATGGTCCCTTTCAGATGTGACTCTGTGATAAATTGATTTTCCATATTCTAGATCAGGGGTAGACAAACTATAGCCTGCAGCCTGTTTCTGTCAATAAAGTTTCATTGGATGCAGTCATGCTCTTTCATATATATATTGTCTATGTCTGCTTTCATGCTACAATGGTAGAGTTGAATAATTGTGAGAGACTTTATGCTCACAAAGCTTGAAATAATTACTATCTGGCCCTTTAGAGGAAAAGTTTTCCATCCCCTGTTCTGGACAATGAATTAGAACCAGAAAGGAGCCATTTTTACAACCAAAGCTCCTATAAAAATGTAGAGTAATAATTATCCCTCACACAAGCTTTATAATTTTTAATATATTCTCATACATATTACTTGATTTTATTTTTATAAAAACCCAGCCATATAATTGGTGCTTTACAGGCATGGTGACATCTAAAGATGTTCAGTCAGGCTTCAGAGTCCAATTTTATAGTCTCATCTGTTTTCTGCATATAACCTGGGCCTGGCACTGTGGGTTAGCTCTACCGGTTACAAGGGAAGCTCTCTTAACTGACCTTATCAAGTCACTTTCAGGATTAATTAATGTTCTCCATTCCCTTTGTGATACTCACTGACTGTTGACAGAAAGTAGACACTAGGCTACCTTCTGAGACACCCAGGTACTTCTGTTATCCTTGTGGTGACATGTACTTACTGGCAGGCTGTTAAATGAATGCCCATTGTACTTATTACTATGATAGTATAATTAAATTATATATATGTTAGCTAATGAAATACGAATGCAAAAGAAGAAAAAGCATTTATAAAAATAGCTATTGTTCTTAGGAAAAGTATATTAAAAGCTTTGGAAAAACTCCAGTAAAATATCAGCAGAGATAGGTTGCTAAAAAATATGCTGTAAGAAATTAGAGTGCAAACATTAAAAAAAATCCATCTATACTTAGGTGGTTGGCCCTTAGGTTTTTGTTTTATCTTTAAGAAATTGAAACAAACTATACATTTTTGTGCAGTTTATGTAAGAAAGAAAAATTGAAACACATTCAAACTAAAAGGTCTTGGTCTTATATCAAATGTTTGGTGAATAAATGTGCATTTATATTTTAAGTGTTAAAAAAGTCTAATCTGGAAAATGGATGTTCCCTTCTGCTAACAGAAAGAGTTGCATGCTTAGAGACTTCAAAAGATTTGAAAAATTATTGGTAGGACCTACACCAAGATTGAGCTCTTCAGACTTTCTGTCCAGTGCTCTTTCTGCCATTCTACTGGAGATGCCTTCACTATCTACTATGCCCATAAGAATAAATATGGCATTCCCTTCTATTATAAATGGATGAATTGTCCAAGTGAATTAGCACATTTACATTTAGGGAAA